TTGACTTTTAAACACTTATTAAGAGCAACCTACAAATTGGTGGCAAGAAAACCTCGTGCATTTTCACAGTTAACATGCTGAATATTTCCGGAGTTTGTAAATCGGCTTCATTATACCTTAGAAAGTAACTGCAGTTTCTATAAAATTAAAGGAAGCAATTTGAAGTATATCAAGGCGCAAAGTGTGAAGGATTCTTTTACCATTCAACACAATTCCAGTGGGCATGTACGACCTTTGAGTTTTTGATGGCATCTGTATCGATCGGCTTCCCATTGAAATAGTGGCCCATTCTTCCAGAAGCCTGTATCATTTTAAAGATAAAAGTGGCGTTTAAAGCAATTCGCAGCAGAAAAAAATTGTGTTTAGACAGGTGAAATAGAGAAAATTAAGAACATAAACAGGTAAATGAATAAGCATAGTTGATCTACCTCTGATTCTTCTGATGAGCGACAGAAAGCACATTGAAATTCATCATCAAATCTTTCTCGTTTCCCTGAACAACCTTTTTTGGTCATAGAATCCAAGTTGTCTGCATCGTCACTGCATCCAAGCTTTTCACAGAGCTGACCTTCATTTTCCTGAGCACCAACATATTTCCCTTGGGTGATGTTATCGTACTCACTAGTTATTACGCAAACAGAGAAATTTTTCTCTTGTTTCTCACGTGCACTCTTTTGATCAGTTGGCGTGGCAACTGCAGACGGTGCGGTGATCAAAACAGGAATAGCAGAACTATCGTGCTGATCCTGATTGAAATATGGGTTCTCTTGCAGTTTGTCGTCCACTGAATCCAGCTTTTGTTTCTTAGACTTCATGCGGCATTGGACCACTCTCTGGTCTCCGTGGGCTCCGCCATTCTTGCTACATTTTTCGGGGAATTGGCTAGCCTTTTCCACTTTTTGAAAAGCTGATACCTCTGATTCAAAATTCTCAGGACCATCGTTTGGAGTTCCTAAACTAATGGGATGGGCAGGAATATCTTCAAGAATTGTCTTATTTGCATTGTTACCGAAGTGCGCTTTCTTCCTGCCTCTGCCTTTCTTGCAACTACTTTCTGGGAGTTCATAAACCTTTTCACCTTTTGGTAAAGCTAATATTTCGGTTCCAAAATTCTTATGTCCACCATCTGGAACTCCTAAACTAACTGGATCAGCAGGAACATTTTCAGGAGTCGCCTTAATAGCATCAATACCAAAGAGTGTTTTCTTGCTGGCTCTGCCATTCTTGCGACTCTTTTCTAGGAATTGATTAACCTTTTCCACTTCTGGAAAGGCTGGTGTCTTGGTTTTGAAATTCTCATTTGGAGTTGCTAAATTAATTGGAACGGCAGGAACACTTTCAAAAATAGCCTTATTTGCATCAGTATCGAAGTGCATTTTCTTATTGCTTCTTTTGGTACTATTTTTCAGACTACCAAAGCTGTTGATAACATCGTGCTGCTGCTTTTGACTCGAGCATTCAGTTTCGGTGGCCGCCTGGGAATATTTCCCACTAGCTGCTTCTGCCAATCTTTTAGAACATTTCTTCAGAGCAATTTCCTTTTTCTTCCTACCTTTTCTGGTAAGATTAGCACGCGCAGTATGATCCTTCACACTGTTGCCTTCCAGAGGGGGCACATTAGGTACCAAGATGTCCAGGATATTACCAATTCGATTATAGCTTCCATTTGGATTTTGCTTCCTTAGTTCTTCATCAGGGGCTGCTGCCAATAATGATGTTTCAGTTCCAGCAATATCTTCAACCTGCATATATGGATGGCACCAATTAAATGGAGTGTATGGGGGAAATCCTGGTACACGTCTGACTTCAGATGATAAAACGAAATCTTCAATACCTGCCGTTTAAAGGGACTTGAACAAAGTTCGGGGGAACAGGCTCTTTGAGTCCATTCAAACATTTCACTATCAAAGAGATCCAAGTCGTTGGATGGCTTGCCACACACTTCCTCCTACATCAGGAAAACGAGATAAAATAAGCAAAATTAGAAACAACGAAGTATAGGGGCGTACTAGCTTTGTTTCTTTCCTTTTATTAATAAAACAGATGCAAATTTCTAGGCTGCCGCTGGCCACATAAGACGTAAAGAAGAGAGGTCGAACGGGTATATCCTGCAGCCTATGTCAGGAATTAATGGTTGCTTTGATGTCCATTTATTTCATATACAGGTTTTCTTTTTCAGAATGAAGTTCTCAAAATGGTTGTACCTACATTACTTTAAAAGTTGAAGTTATTGCAACTGCATAAAAGTTTTGAGATTGATTGCAACTTTGTTGTACTTGCTTAGTAGTCAATATCCACGATGATATAATCACAATGTTTCCAGTAAACTCACCAATGGAGCCTTTGAAGTGCTTTCTTCCAATGAATCCTTGATATCACTGAAGGAAAGAACATTCATTGACATCGAGTCTGTAGGTTGATCCAAATCCGACTCCTGGTTCGACTTTTCATCTTCTTCATCTCTTTCTCTCAACCAAAAAAAAGGTGAAAGAACTGGCTGACCTTTATCCAACGAAGCATCTGTACCTTTTCTCGATTCTTCTTCATTCACCTCATTAAGACTACATGCTAACTTTACAGGTTCGGTAGGTGTCTCTGAAAGAGGACGTTGCGGCACCTGAACCCTCTTCTTTCTTGGAAATGAAGGTTTCAGAGGGGAAGAAGCAGAATTCTTCCCCTTGGATTTTTGTATTTTTTGTGGCTCTTTTTTCAAAGTTCTCAGTTCATAAGCTGTTCTCCCACTGGTTTCTGTTTTGAGCCGTTTTGAACCACTGCTATCACCTTCAACTTGTTTGTCTCCATCTTCAGTGAGGAGAAGCAAAGAGAAAGAGAAGTACTTAGAAATTCTACCAAATTTGAAATTTAAAGACAGCCCTCACTCCACCACATCCTAGATCCATTCTAGTTTATAGCTGAAACTTATGAAAAGTAGGGAAAAAAACAGTAACCGAGTAAAAACTCCGGAAGAAAGAAAGAAAACTGGTTTACTCTTGAAAAGCTTTAAAATACTAGTCATAGTTCTAACGGAAAAAAAATAAATCTTGACTCAATCTTGATATATTATCTTCACTATAATGGACGAGAAGAAATGAAAACATCTTCTCTTCACGACATCGCACAAGTTGCTTGGCAGGTCATGAAGCTATAGTGAGAAAATGAAATCAATTTGTGTCCGTGTTCATGAACTACGATCTTACCAGATAAATTATCAGAAGACAAATTCTGGGTATCAAATATATTAACTCCCGAAGCAGCTTCCATGCTTTTGTAAATGCTCACCAAATTATCCATGTGTGGAGCAGGACGAACTTCTGCAGACAATATTGTAGAAAGAATACGTTAGTAGACGTGATAAAATTAGACAGCAGTCGTATTGATTTTGCCATTTCATTCCCGATTGAACAAGAATGTCATAAAATGAGCGAACGAAACTTCTACAGAAACAAAAGATAATATAAGATTAAAAAAAAATCAAAAAAGACAGAATATGCTCGTCTGTTTTATTCATAAAACGGAGATATATATGCAGTTTAAAACATCCGAATGTTAATGGAATCATACCTCTTCGCCGATAAGGCACCTTACAAACTGGGCAGTTCGAACCCGATTTCATTGATTTCTCTATACATACACTGAAATTCAAAGAAATGAGAGTTTAGAGAACTTCCGTCACTAACGCCTTTACAAATAATTAAATAGGAATGAAAAGCGATTGTGTTGAGAGGCTTACAAGCAGAATATGTGGTTGCATCCGAGTGAAGCGGCAGAGTTCAAAAGACTCAGACTATAGACAATTTCCGGGAAAATCGCAATAGAAGTAGCGAAAAAAAGATGAGTGCACATAAATCAGATAACTATACATCATCAACAAAGAAATCTGAAAATTTATCCCAATTCGCAGTTAAGAACAAAAGTAAATGCAACATAATTACTCGTATTCCTTATCAATTTTCTTGGGAGAAAATGGAACTCAAAGCAAACAAAGAAGTAGAGAGGGATAGATGATTATAGCATTCAAGAAATTGAGAGGAGGGTTACCAAATTGGGCATTTAAGCTCTATTCCCATCTTCTCCAGATGGCCGGGATCCCCCATTGAGAGAAACAGTGAAGAATAATATACCCAAGTAAAACGTAGTGAAGAGGGGATCGATGTCGGCTTTGAACGAAAACGTAGAAGAAGATGCCGAGGCGCGAAAATTCGACCTCGATATTTATCTTTGAATTTTTACGCGAAACCGGCGCGCGCCTTTTTGTTTTTAATTCTTTTTTCATTTTCTTGAGAGACTGTTTAGCGGAATCGCGGCCCACGGGTTACATTTGTATCATTATCTCCGCCATAACTTTAAATAGATTTAACATAAAATTCAAAATATTTTAGTTTTATGCTTAATTACTGGTGGGTGGGCTATGCTCATGTCGAATTCATCAACAAAAGAATTAATAATTACAAGATATAAATTTATTTATAAATATTTCATAAGAAAACATTTAACGTTTAGCTGGGTGACTTTTTTTTAGAGATCAAAACACAACATCACATTGAAAATAAAATCGTGAAAGTTTAGAACTTCAATTTTGTATAATTCATTTGTAGTATGTAAAAAGCTCTTTTATGACGCAAAATCTGGCGATTAAGTTAGTCGTTGTTTTGCCCAAGTGTTCTTGCTGCCTTTGTTCTTCCACTCATCAGGATGACAGGAAGCTGAGAATTAGATTTCTCTAAACTGCAACTTCTTGTGAAAATACTATTTCATTCTTCTTCCATGAGAGCAGCCCCTCCTAATTCATAGGTACTTGATTTTTATGGACCTCAAACAAAGCTGTCATAAAATAATCATATCAAATCTTCTCAACGCTGCCTCCGTTGCAATTCTCGTCTTAATCGACAAAGAAGAATAAGGATGAATATTATTTGAATATTGCAAACTAACAACGTTGTTAGGAAATGAAAAAAAGGGCATATCTAATCACTGAAATCTCCATAATCATCTGTGAGATATCAATCAAACGAGCAAGACAAATTTATAAATTTTAACCACTATACATTGCAAGATATATCAACATTTTACAATCCAAGTGATATAGCATAAAATCGATTAGTACAAGTATAAACAAACATATTTGACACGTGAACTAGTGACTTTACAACATATCACTTGGTTAGTTGAATTTTGATATGTTTCTTAGACTTCCTAGAATCATCTTCATCTATAAACACACAAAATGAAGATACCCAGAAGTTGTTTTAGGCTTTTACTTATTGCATGTAGAAGAGAACAACAAAATTACTTACTCTAGTGGAAAGAGAGCCTCTCATTCTTCTCTCGTGCAGTTCAGCAGTTGCTAGGCTCATTGGACCAACTACCATGTATAGTCAGAGAAATCGCTGCCCCCTGAGAATTCATAATAGTCGTCGTCATCAGTCAATAAATCGGTGTCAGACAAGCCAAAAGGGTAACCATAATCCTCCTCATAATCATCACCATATTCAACAATCTCGGTTGAAAATTCATAGTCATCAGTGGGATCATGAGGCAACCGTAAATTTTTTATTTTTTCAGAACATTTTGCACCCAACTGTCCCGCCAAATTCAAATTGAAACACTGGCGTAAATCAAGAGATTCTAAGTCAGGACAACCATCAAGAATGGCCTCCAAGCCCCTATTAGTAAGGCTGTTGCCAAATATCTGAAGGTGACGTAGATTAGGCATATTTTCAGCAATAGCAAGGGCTCCCTTGTCACATTCCACCCGTCTGTAAAACTGACGGTTCAGTTTTAGTGATTTCAGAAGAGGGCGACAATGACCAAGAGTTTCCAAAGTTTCCACATCAAATGAACCGAAAGATATCTCAAGATCCTCCAACAAGGGAAGTTTCGAAACTGCTTTAATGAATCCCTCATCTGAGATGCGATTGCAATATACAAGGCGGAGTTTTCTAAGTTGATTTGAACTGCAACAAATTAATATATGGAACCGTCAAAATCAAGAAAATACAAACTCAAAATCAAGACACCACATAAACACATAAACCATCAGAGAAGACTTTGTCCATAAGAAATAGCCCGAGAGGATCTTTCAGTCCCCCATGACTTACAAGACGCCCCTCTCCTTTATTACTGGTGAAAATCTTCATCGCTATTAAATGAGGACCAAGATAAGACAAACTAATGGAATTGCATATGCTCCATGTTCATTGGATTGAACTTCCAATATCCGTGCCACGGGAAGAAGAATTTTAATAAAATATTTGACAACTGTGATGGGAAAAAAAATAAATAAATAGAATTTCCACAAGAAATTGCAGAGCAAGAGCTGGCAATTAGGTTCCCTGTCTCAGGTCAGAGAAAACTGATTCTAAGCTTCACATCAAACTTGTCATCCTCTACATAAGGTAACGTACGGCAGATTATCTATCCATAAACATGATTTTTACATGCAATAAACGAATAAAATATATATATACTAATCTATACAAAGCCATATAAATGGTTCAGTTTCAATTTTGGTCCTGGATGTTCGCCCTTATTCGTTTGTCTGTATGCTTTCACGTTAGACATGTGCATTACAGAAACATAAAATAACAAAGAACAAATGCAGATTTTAAATTATAAAAACTAGAACAAAACAAATAGAGCAGCACGTTTGAAAAATAAAATTGAAACAGAACGTTTACGTAATGGCCAGAACATCCAACGCTATTCCATTACAGTAGAGATTTTAGGTTGATTTATCTCTATCCTATAGTTACAACAAGAGAACCTTACGAAAATCTAAGATAGTGATACTAAAATTAAACAATAACATACCTCTGAGTAATGTACTGGAGCAAATCATCGGTGCCAAAATGCTCAATGTTAATGTAAATCAATTGGCCACAACTACGGTCAACAGCCTGCCTGCACATCTCCTCCAAATCGTAGTCCATGTCCCACCAATCACCGGAATAGCGCATATCAACAACGCGCCACATGAGAGGGTCCTCACAGATCTTACGCCACGAAGAGCAAACGTCTTGAGCGTTGGTGAGAATATCAACGGGGCCTAACTTCAGCAGAATCATAGACGTGACATCTGCAGGCAGTTCAAGCCAGTTCCTCGCTTCCTCTCCTAACGAATTAGGGCTGGAATTCGATTCCATGGCCATGGGAGCAGAAATAATTGAAACCAACAGAGGAATTTCGGGATGGAGATTGAAATGCCCTTGAGTATGAACTAGGGTTTGGATGAGAGAATGCGAAAAGATGCTACTCGCATTAATCGCATCCAAGTAACTTTGCCTTCCTGTAATTTTAATGGGCAGCACTTGCAAAACGGTTAAATTATAATAAATAAATAAAAATAATAAAAATAATATTGGGACCTTTATTACCCCGCTGTTTAATCGAATATCGAAATACGTGGATTTCTAGATAATTATATCCATTTAAATCATAAATATTAATGAATAATTAATTTAGACACTTTATTAAAATTTTATTTTTAAAAATAAATAATTAATCTATATTAGACAAAAAAAATGTAAGAATCACCTTTTCACTACTATCATCTTCCTCTATTTTTTTTACCTTATTTGGAAATAATTACATAATTTTTGTTTATTGAAATATAAATTAATTTAGGTGATTTTGTGAAAAACAATAGTTTAAATTCCTTCCATTATTAAAAAAAATTAAGATATAAATTAATATAATCATTAGTTTTTTATGAAAAAAAAACATACATTCCTTTTAAAATAAAGTTAGATTTCATCTCTAAGACATCGCATTTAAACCTCACATGGATTTTACAAAATAAACAAATATATATATATATATATATATATATATTTATGAATATATGAGATCCCATGGGAAAAAACTAAACATTACTTGTAAGGGTATCAAAACCTCTCCCAACCGACATGTTTCAAAACCTTAATTGAAGCCCAAAAAAGAAAGTCCAAAAACAAAAGTCCAACATTATTAGGGTGAGACCTCTTTTCATTAGACACGTTTTAAAACTTTGAGGAGAAGGGGAAGGAGGAAGCCCAAAAAGAACAATACCTATTATATTTGTTAGCGGTAAACTTGAACGGTTACAATTTTACTCTAAAAACGAAGCAAGTAGCTATGAAATTTCAAGGGTTGTCAAAAAAGAGAGATCCAACTAAAACATTGGTGTTTATAAAGGGCAATGTATTAAGAACTTACCAACTTAGTTTGTGAACTTTCATCACAAGCTCTTCATATTCCAGCTATAACACTAAAGAAACAAACACAACAAAACTGCCTTAAAGGTGGTTCGGTATAACTCGATGAACGGGGCATGAAAGGGAAAATGACGATGAATTCACCGTTATATCTAAGCTTCGAAGTCCAAGAAAATATGCAATTTTTGCAGAAGCAACTCGCGAGTACCGAAAGGGAGCTTTTCATAAGTGATCCAATCTTTCTCAAGAACACCTGACTTGGCACTGTTCAGCATCTCATCATGGAATGCAGAAACAATGAGATAGATCGACGCCCTCAATACGTCTGCAATTGCATATGCGTTCGAGTGCAGCGGACCACTTTTCTTTTTACCAACTGAAGAATCTACTCTTCTAATACTTGATGTTGCCCATTTGATACCAGCTGGGCCAAATAGATCGTGTGAAGATTGTATGCAAGTCTTCTTCCCCATCAGCACTTCAACAGCAAGCAGGCAAGACAACAGTGTTGACATAACAGTAGCATTACTACCAGAGAGCTGGGCAACCCCGAATTGATCTTCCACATGTGAGCGAGCGGTCAACATAGAAACCGCTCGGGCACACCATGCATACACCTGCAAAGTTTAGCAAGCATCATCGGTTATATCCAATAGCCACACAGATGTTCACAGAAACGAATGGGTAAAGAACATAAATTCAAGCAAAATAAAGACAGGATAGATAGGACAGGATCACAGTGGCTCTTAGATACAGTGTGGCTCTTAGGCTCTTAGATACAGATGCCATGAGGAGGCCCCATATGATAAGAACGGAAATATAGTGGTCATGCAGTCTTCTACATCGGGCAAGCATAAGAATTTGAAAGTGAATGCATGTAAATGAGTTTGTTTGCATCCATTTTTTTATATGCATCAGGTAAAAATATGCTTTTAACTAAATGTAATAGCTGAGTCCACTTTTAGCATATATTGTCCCAAAACGTATCTCTAAAGACAGTTTTCCACACTCTTACAAGAAATACTTTATTTCTCTCTCTAATCGATGTGGGATCTCACAATCCATCCCCCTTGGGGCCCGGTGTCCTCGCTAGCACACCACCTGGTGATTGACTCTAATACCATTTGTAACAGTCAAAGTCTACCGCTAGCCGCTAGCAGATATTGTTCTCTTTTGGCTTTCTGGCTTTCCCTTCTAGGCTTCCCCTCAAGATTTTTAAAACGCATCTGCTAGGGAGAGGTTTCCACGCCCTTATAAGGAATGTTTCGTTCCCCTCTCCAACCGATGTGGGATCTCACAACCCACCCCCCTTGAGGGCCCAACGTCCTCGCTAGCACACCACCCGATGGCTGGCTTTGGTACCATTTGTAACTACCCAAATCTACCCCTAGCAGATATTGTCCTTTTTGAGTTTTTCTTTTTAGGCTTCCCCTCAAGATTTTAAAATGCATCTGCTAGAGAGAGATTTTCACACCCTCATAAGAAATCCTTCGCTCCCCTCTCCAACCAATGTGGGATCTCACACTAATGTTTAAACGGTTTCACTTGGTATTCATAAACATGGCTTAGATATCGTGCATACGATTCCAATATTGTTCTTGTGCAGTCATGAACAAAACTACATGAAATGACTATAATACTTAGATATCATGCATGATAAGAACAGAGTTGACACTGATTCCAATCCAGAAAAACCTATAACACTGCAGAACTCACATGGAGATTCAAAACAGCCCCTGCCCCTCCTCCAACAAGACTAAATAAAAATGAAATATGCAATGAAGAGAATAGTTATAGTCTAATCAAAATATATCCCCAACCTGAAAGTTTTTAAGAGTTTCCAATTGTTTCAAGTCGAAGTGAGAGTCCTTTGGCGGTAATAACTGTTTGGATAGTTGGGAGGTTATGTCCACAGCACCTTCCAAACCTTCACCCAAGTTCAGGGCAAACTGCTCCAGAGGCCTCAATGATATGGATACAACTCGCTTGTACGTCTCGCCCGATTCTTCAAAAAATGCAGCTCTCCGCCATATATCGACATTAGTCTCACAAACCATACAGAGATCAAGAAATGCAAGATATTGCAAAAGAGACCCTGGGTTGCTGTCGTCCAACGCTGCAAAGAGGTACTCGCTCGGATTTGTTTCCGCAGCTGCAGATCCCTTTGGAGGTGCAAAAGCAAACCTCTTGGTGTGCAGAACCTAAAGTTATAAAATACACACAGTGAAGCACAAAACTGGAGTTAAGTCTAGCTCTTTTTCATAACTTTTTATACAAATATAGTCCATCTGAAGCATAAAACCGCTCGTTTTCTTACCTATAAGATGGACGGGATAGACTCCCGTAACTTTGTTAAAAGTTTCAATTATGCTCCTAAACTTCGAAAGTTTTGAACCCTTGAACAACCCTTTGAGAAGCCATCCATTCAAATCATTTTATCGAATTAGAATAATGATATGATTTTTTTCTCAAAAACCCATCAATCCTCAATTCAAAAGCCTAAAGGGGGCTACGGCACTGCTCGCTTAATGACATTGAAGTGATGAACTATTGATAAGGATTGTTGCGACACCGACATAATAGGGGAAAGACATGACCAGTGAACCCACTTAGTTAAGAGTGTCTATGGTTAAGATACATGATTAAAGTAACATATCATAAATCTTGTCGTTCTCCAAGAAATTGTAGAACATAAAAATTGTCAACGAAATAAGGCATGAGATTATAATGCCATTAACATAATATATGAACAATGAACTAACCTGATGTAAGTGGTGAGTCAATTCCCAAGAGAGAAATACTGCAAAGCTTCCAATGAATAGAATGGCCTGGTTAGCAATGAATTTCCCGACTGTAGCATTGCTCTTAAGTGGATCCGGCAGAAGCGCCATTAATACTGCTGAAAATAGGAAAGCTGCAGCAGAAAGTTTGGAAGCCAACATGGTAGCTGACGGAAAACCCATCTTAAAGCTGAAAAAAGGGGGACGCTGTTGATAAAAATAGTTGCAATCAGTAAACAGGAGGCTTGAAAATTTGACCATGAAACATCCAAGAACACAAATATCAAAGATAAGTCGGTGAAGTAAATACGGTAGCTTAAATTCTACTGACAAAGAACACCTAAGCCCACCGCCAGCGGATATTGTCCATTTTGGCTTGTTACGTGTAGCCGTCAGCCTCATGGTTTTAAACGTGTCGGCTAGAAAAAGGTTTCCACATCCTTATAAGGAATGCTTCATTCTCTTCTCCAACCGATGTGGGATCTCACAATCCACCCCTCTTGGGGGCTAGCATCCTCGCTGGCACACTGCCTGGTGTCTGGCTTTGATTCCATTTGTAACTGCCTAAGTCCACAGCTAGTAGATATTATCTACTTTGGCCCGTTACGTATCGTCGTCAATCTCACGATTTTAAAATGCGTCTACTTCACATCCTTGAAAGAAATGTTTCATTCCCCTCTCCAACCGATGTGTGATCTAACATTCCCCTCTCCAACCGATGTGTGATCTCACAAACACTTACTAGAGTTAATGATTGTATAGAGAAATCTTCAAAATGAACAGATATGCATAATTGTGAACATAAACAATTAACGACAGACAACTCTGTGAAAGAAACGCATTTACAGAAAAACCTATACAAATTAATCATAAGTGATATCCAAAGAAGCAGTAAGGTGTGCAGCACTCAAAATCTCCAAGTTCTTTTCTTATGCATCCTAAGATATACGTATACTTATTCAATATAGTTCCCAAACAGAAGATGAGAATGATTCTGATTAAAAGTACAAACCAAGGACCAAAAGGTAACCTGTATGATTGGAAACGTTAGAACCCATCTCTTCTTGTAAACATAGAAAAGGCCATAAATCAGACCCATCGAAAGACCCGTATGCCACGCACTGCTAAGACCATCTGTTTTCCCCCAACATGTAGAAACCGCCGCCAAGGAACCCGAAACCGCAGTGGCCACTACAAACAGCACCAAATAGAACGAAACCATAGCCCGACGGTGAAAATCCTTGGAAGCCGACGCCGATGAGGCATTGTCGCCGCCTGAAACCACAAGAAACCGAACGAGCACAAAAGCGAGCTCAAGCGGCGCGGCAGGTCGTTCGAGCTGGGGCGAAGCAAGAAGAGAGAGTGAAGCAGAGAAGAGGAGTTGAGAGAGATGAAATGTAAGAAAAGTAAGGAACCCAGTGAGCAATGAAGCAAAAGGGGCTGATGGGTTCCCAGACCCACTTGAGGAATCGCTAACAGAAACAGAAGAAATGGGTGAAATGAAGATTTTGAAGAGGAAAAAGACGATGGTTGAAGGGATGGACTGCCAAATAAGGAAACCCAGAAAGCGATTCTTGACAACCATTTCTGGGGGTCCGAAGAACAGAGAAGACGAAGGCATTTCACTGAGTTTTTCTTTGCAAATTCAAAATCGAAGCCCACCGCGATCTTTGTAAGAATCGCAGAAAGCTGTTTTGTGAGGAATTTAGGCGCGGTTTAACTGGGATGCTTCCAAGGCGGCGCCAATTTGCATCTCCAAATTCAATTGTTTGTAGCGCACAAGGCACAACAAGTAGAAGCTCCTTGTAGGGGGGAAAACGCTGAATATGATGAGCTTACAGCACCTCATTTTTGTTTATAATTTGCTTTGCCCAAAATTATTCTTACAGATTAAGTCATCGCTTAAACAGTCTAAAGTCCATGTCGTCTTTGAAACAGATAGAAATAAAAATCATTTTGTTTATCATTTTCAAATGAAATTCGATTATAAATATTTGTTATTGGTTTATTGTTGCTTTCTTTTTTTCAGAAATTATATAAATTTATTGTGAAAGATTTTGTTTATAAGCTTAATTTTAACCACCAAAAAATCAATAATCAAATATACGGTACAACGAAAATTGCAATAGAACATTCATTCTTCTTTTACACACTATTTGCCTTTCACAACCTAAACGTCTTGATCCCTTACCTTATGCAAACTATCAACATTTTTCATATGACTTTTACATCAGATCTATTGTTAAAGCAAGAACATCGAAAATTCTACTAAGCAAACGATTCTGTTCTTGAAGCCTGGGACCGTGCATCTTCAAATTGGTTGTCATCGACTTTCTCGGAGCTCAAACTTGGTGGAACGAAAGATCTAAACACTTGCTCCATGTTCGGAACTTCCTTCAACTCATTACAAGTGACTTCGAGAGCGGTATCGGCAAAAGCTCGGTAGAATTTAGTGTGACAAATGAAGGCAAATATCAAGGAAATTATGGGGAGCGGAATTAAGATTGGAGCGTAGAAGAATTTCTTCACCCCGAAGAAACCGAACATGGTAAGTTGGTACAACAAGAGTGATGCTATGATACGGTTGAATATATGAGGCCATATTCTTCCATAGGTCTCATAAGCAGGAACATAAACTTTCAGTGCCTGTAAAACAAGGTCATACGTTAGCACAAATAACAAAGCAATGTCCAAAAGACAGAACACATCGACACAGTCGTTACAGTTTGCCACTCGGTTTTACGATTGTTTTACGTTACCTGATTACGAAGAATAAGCCATCCAAGACCGAAGTATATGATGCTGAACGGGATGATCAAAGGTGTCATGATGGAGTAGCATAGGCCTATGGTAAAAATGAGCAAGTCACCCGGAATTCTAGTTCCATAACCAAAGTCACCAGGAGTCCAAGCATCCTTCACATCAGCTTCACATTTGCAAAGGAATTTCTTCTTCAAATGGAATACGATAAGAGGAACTATCCTAGATAGCTCGAGACCGTAACCAACGAAGAACCTAAAAAGCAAAACAGACTAAAAAATCAGTCGATAAATTTAGATTCTTAAGCTACACTGTTTAGAAATAGAGAACTACTAAGGGTATAAACATGATTGTTCTTGTAACAGCTCAAGCCCACCCCGGTAGTAAGTATTGTCCTCTTTGGCCCGTTACATATCGTCGTCAGCCTCACAATTTCAAAACACGTCTACTTAGAGAGGTTGTCACACCCTAATAAGGAATGTTTCATTCTCCTCTTCAACCGATGTGGGATCTCACCATCTACCCTCCTTGGAAACCAGCGTCCTCTCTGACACACCGCACAGTATCTAGCTCTAATATTATTAGTAACAACCCAAACCCACTGCTAGCAAATATTGTCCACTTTGACCCATTATGTATCACCTTAAGCCGCACTGGTTCTAAAACATGTCTTACTAAAAAGAAGTTACCACACCCTTATAAAGAGTGTTTCATTCCCCCCTCCAACCGATGTAGGAACTCACAATCCACCCCTTTCAGGGGTCAGCGTCCTAACACCACTCAGTGTCTAGCTCTGATTTCATTAGTAACAGCCAAGCCTACCGCTAGCAAATATTGTCGGCCCGTTACGTATCACCGTCAGCCTCACGGTTTTAAAACACGTCTACTAGGAAAAGGTAATCCAACCCTTATAAGGAATGTTAAACATTCCCCAGATGATCACTAATATATGCATGATATACAGAAAATGGAACAAAAGTAAGGCTACACAAAGAGAGAAAGACGAAACAACGAAATCGAAGGATCTTAGAATGAGAAGCTTACTTGAGAGCCACAAAGGTAAGAAAGAAAGTTGCACTGCCTGGGAGACTGCTAGCCAACAAGGGAACAAGAGAGTTTGGATCCTTCTGAATGTCCTTGAATGTTTTAAACAGTGCACCACTCAAAGTGACTCCAAGGAAAACATTCAACACACTGAAATAGAAATATTTCCCAGAAGCAGCCCTCTCAGCATGTCCCTCTGAAGGAATTCCCTCAGATTTAGATAGAAAAAGCAGTATATTGGGCAGCACAGCCAAGAAGATAATCAAAGCTAATTGAGGCAAGTAGGCTTCTAATACTACTTTGACTGCATTTATGTTCACAACTGGCTTCAAAAATGGCAGCAACTTAGTCAAGTTATTGAGTGTGGTAATGGCAGAAATGATACCAATTGGAATCATGTAGAAGAAGATCATCAGTGCCACAATGACATACACAACATACTGCCGAACTTGCCTCTGAATAAAGTCTATATAAAGATTAGGCCAGATAAGCTGGCGGGGCTCGGGAGCTGCTAGAACGGTCCATTTATCGACGATTTTCGCATGCAAGTTTTGCGATGCAGAAGCTGCAGTTGCTCGGTTGTTGAAGAAGACGAAAGCAGCGTTCTTCTGCTTCTCTCTAAGAGTAGTCTTTTGTTCAGATTCCAATTTTCCGACAAGCTCATTGATCTTGTGGGAGTAGAATTCTATGCTGTCAACCTTGTCCCCTATAAGACCAAGGAAGCCAGTTTTATGCATTGGTTTTGTACCTTCTGGCTTGGCTTCGGTTTTTGAAGCTGCAAATGCTGCTTCGGATCGTTCGAGCTTCCTCTTGCATCCTTCCAGCTCCTCCCACAACTTATTAACCTGCTAGTCATTTGAACATTTACAATATGTCAAATATAAATCACATGAACATTTACAATATGTCAGATATAAATCACATGTGGCCACGTATCCTCATGATTTTAAAACGCGTCTACTAGATAGAGGTTTCCACACCCTTACGAGAAATGCTTTGTTCCCCTCTCCAACCAATGTAGGATCTCACAATTCACCCCCCATTGGAGGCCAGCGTCCTCACAGACACACCGCCCGGTGTCTAGCTCTGATACCATTTGTAACAGCTCAATCCCACCGCTAGTAGATATTGTCCGCTTTGGCACATTATGTATCGCCATCAGCCTCACAATTTTAAAATGTCTACTAGAGAAAAGTTTTCACACCCTTACGAGGAATGTTTTGTTCCCCTATCCAACCGATGTGGGATCTCACAATCCACCTTCCTTGAGGGCCCAGGGTCCTTGCTGACACATCACCCGGTGTCTGACTTTGATACCATTTGTAACAACCCAAGCCCACGGTTAGTAGATATTGTCCATTTTGGCTCGTTATGTATTATCGTCAGCCTCACAGTTTTAAAACGAGTCTACTAGGAAGAGGTTTCCGCACTCTTACAATGAATGTTTTGTTCCCCTCTCCAGCCAACGTGGGATCTCACCAGGAGAAAGGCTTCAGCCCAAGAAACCATACATGACAATACAAATACAACAACAAACTCAACTTATAGTGACAAGTTTAAATCACAATGTTGCACAGTACGAAGCAACGATTGAAAAAATGTCGAACAAACCTCTTTGTTGTCTGTAACGATCATCGATCGATAGAACGTATCGGGATAGATCTTTCTAAAAAAGGAATCAACTTGTTCCTTCCTAGTTTGACCCTGAGGAACTGGAGGGATATCTCTAACAACAATGGCAAATTGTTCAGCCTTTACTTCAGGAGTCATTAAAGCTTCAGCTCTCAGAGCTGAGATATGATTATAAGCTTTCCATGTCAAGTAATATGCCACAAAGGAAACCCAGTAGGTAGCTAATAAGAAGGCCCAAAGACGATTACTCCCCAGCTGCACATCAAAACTCAAATCTAAGAACCAAAACAACAAAGAAAGGACAACCCTCCAAAATTCTTGATACATTCATGTTGCTTACATTGACATTTCCCATAGATAATCTGTCAAGTTCATTGAAAGTCCCAACACTTAGGGTATCATTCTTCTTAGCATTCTTGATACCATCATCAGTAGCAGCAACCGGAATAAGAACTGGCAGAAGAACAACGGAAGACAACACAAAAATCCCCAGCACTGGAAAACCAGAAACAGGGCAGCAATAGAATAAGAACCCAACAACCTTTGAAGCTAAAACGTGCAAGTGAAAAAGAAAGAAAGACAAACCAGTGGACAAAAACACAAAGTAGACAGCAGAATCAACCCCCGACATCGAAATCACGTCCTTCTCAGAAGAAGACAGAGCTTCCTTAATCCAAGCAAATGGGCTCCTTGTACTGGACCCGACGGTCGGATCCAGACCCTTGAGGATCCGATTTGGGTAATAAATGACATGGTTGCCAGGATTTGAAGAAAGCCAAGCGAAAACAAGCATCAAAACCAGAAATATCACAAAGGACGTCCCTAAGGACACCAAAAACGAAGAGAAATCCATCTGGGTGCGTCTCTAAAACCCCAAATCCTTCAAGTCCTGAGTGAATCTGGAGGAACCCACCTCGAGAAACTTCACCACACTCGGAATTATTTTAGCTTGTAAGGGTTTCTTTTTGGGGTCATTCAAAGAGGGATAAAGTAGCCGTTAAAAAACGGTGGTTGGGGGTGGCGTGGAGGTGGGATATTTATAACAAATGGGATGGCGTGGAGGGAGAGTGAGCTCAGAAATCAGGGTGTGCACTGTAGAAGCAGATAAGGCGGAAAGAGAGGGATTGAAGGCGACGGGACAGGACAGGGGACAAGTGTAAGAGACGAAAAACACCTTCATTTCTTTTTATTTATTTTGGAATCAGGTGCCTTGCTTTCAAAGTCACCTCTCCCTTCAATCGTATAAATTCCTCCTCAATTTACGTAATATTTCAAGATTCAAAATTAAGGATAATTTATAATGAAACTCTAGCAATATATTCTTCAAAATTCCCCTTGTTTTAGCTTACATAATCAAATTGAGTCTTGAATTCACTTTTTAAAACATTTTTCAATTAAAAGAAATAAACTTTACCCTCTTAATTTTTTCAATTAATTAATTAATTTTGTTTTTTCTATTTCTATATTATTATCATCGAAAGCTAGATTCTATTATTCGGCGACTAAATACATGAAATGACAATTTTTTCTTTAGGAAAGACGAACCATTCTCTTTATGGTTTGATTTTTGCATTTTCTTCACATTGTTGTGTTGGGTGTTTTATGGAAACTCTTTTTTCTGGTTAAACAATTTTTTTATAAAGAGTTTTCCAAATAGCTATAAATTAATTTAATAAATTTACAGCTGTAATACTGTAATTGATTGTCTCAAATAATAATTGAAACAATGTCAATTATAGCAGCAATAATAATAACAATTAATCAGATGGATCCGTATAATAAGCAATTCTGAAGCTTTGACTCATTAATTGCTTCACACAATTTAATAATATTATGCACCAAATAATTTTTAACTAATTTTTGTTAGTTTTAAAATATTATAAAATGTGAAAATATTAAGCAAATAGATGCATTTCTTAAATGTGTGCAAAATTAGGGTTTTTATTCTTTATTTTTTATTTTTATGTGTGCATATAATAATTTAGTCTATTGAAAAACCCAAAAAGGGTACTATCGACATTGCACAAGCAGCTAGGGTCATAGATTTTCCGTGATTGCAAATTCAGAAAGTACAGTCCAATAGCAACACAGTTGCCCACGTCTCCCAATCACACGCCACGTGGAGAGCTACTCTGGCATGAAGACATGGGAGCGAGTAAGTATTATTCTGTACTCGCAGAGAGTGGCCTAAAAATATTGTTTTTGAAAAACGGCCGCATAAAAAGAAAACCTTTGTTTTGCTTTAATTTCGTTTACTTTTTGGGGAAATGGTTGTCGTGAATGACACGCTCCAGAGCTGCCGACAATAAAGTGGGCCCCAAAGGTAGATTTTGTCTCATTGCTTTGATTACGCGTCCGGACAACGCGAGAGCCAGCGAGGCATACGGGTGCCGTGTGTGCAACAATGGAGGAACAAAAAGCAAGGTTGTAACTGACACGTCGGACGGTCCTTGTCACGTAGGAATATATGTATTATATCCACATAAATGTATTTGTTTATTTATAATTGTTTTTAAAAAAAAAAAAACGTGAAGCTGTTAGTCAAAAGTATATATAATATGATTTAGTTCTATTCTAAATATCAATTTTCATTATTGTTATTATTATTGTGATTATTGTTATTTTGAATTTTAGAAGAATATGGGTAAGGTAGAGGCAATGGGAAGGAAAAATCAAATAAAATCCTTTTGTTTTGCAATTTGGTCATCCTATCCTATCAGTTCTACTCATTAATGCCAAAATTTTTAAAACTGAGATTGATTTAGAGGGCCCAAGGAATATATTGGTTTATGTACTTTCCTTATCTTTTGGGAGAATCAGAGTTGGGGAGCAAACCCCATTTAACAACACTCCAGGCAAAAGTATATTTCATATCAAATGGAGGAATCAAGCTTATATTTCATATCAAAATGCCCATTCCACATCATATAATCTATACATGGAAAACACCGATCTTGGTGAAACAGAAAAAATAATAATCATGACGATAGCAATTACAGTGTGTATCATAGTTTGAATTCATGACGCCTACACTGAATAATAATCAAAATAATAATACAATAAACATGGCTAGAAATACAGAGGCGGAAAATTGTGGAAAAATGGTCACCTGAAGTTGCAGCAGTGAGCGTGTCCCCGCGCCAGCTTATCCCATAGGCAGATTATCTGCCTAGGAGACTGATAGTGTGCTGTAAAATACTCCTCCATACACCCATACTGGCAGAATTTCCAGTTGTGTGAGTATTGGACCATCGCCACGCTACTGTTGAACTGCTCCACCCACATTCCCATGCTCACATCCTCCATCTTGAATAACTGCCCACATTCCGAAACATCCCTTTTAATACACCAAAGAACCCACACACAAACACACACAGACACTAAGGCTTACAACAAACTCACCCTCAGGCTCCTGTTCTCATGTTGGGACACAATGTATTTAGCAATGTCAATGGAAATGATATATCCCGGCCCATTTGCATATGGAGGATACACTTCTTCCGGCCATTCCTGATATTGGTGAAAATAAATCATTAGCGTAATAAAAGATTGAAACAAAGTGATAGGCCACCAATTATAAATGTATACTAAAGGAAAGGAGTTGGGTGGGTCCACTTGACAAGATATAGGAATGGAAGTCTAACGGCACACCCGCACTGCTAGCAGATATTGTCCTTTTTGGACTTTTCCTTTTATTGGGGAGAGGTTTCCACACCCTTATAAAAAATGTTTAGTTCTTCTCCTCCCAACCGACGTGGGATCTCACATCAAGAATGTGCAAAGTGGGATAAGAACACAGAATAGCCAACATATTTAAGTTACCTCATATGTGACTGCCCATTTTCCATGTCTGAGAGGGCGATGCAGGAGGTTGAGATTGCCCATGTACAGGGACCTCTTGGATGAAATGCCTTCGATCTGTTTTAAAACAGTTTCCACTCTCACAAAGGTGTCGTCATCACATTTCATAACATACGAAGCCGTCAAGTTCACAGCCTACAAGGAGAAAGTTGATTAGTTCACGCATATCGAAAAACAACATACACTAAGGTCAAACGCTACTCAGTTCATATTTCGAAGTTCTATGAAGAAGATCCAAACAATTATGAACAGAAGAAGGGAAACGCAAACTCACCCCAAACTCACATATAGCTATAGTCTTTAGAACAACAAGCTCGTAGCGGTCCATGAAGGGCAAGATCACAATATCACCGAAGTATGCAGCTTCGCTCTTCAGCACAGCGTTGACCTCCTTCCTCGGATTCTACATGGTGAGTTTATACATGATAAGAAATACAAAAAACAATGATGGAAATAAATATCGAAGAACGTGAATGAAGTAAAGATCCAAGTAGTCCCGAGTGCCAAATTAGATGGGAAGACTGAACACGAGTCATAGTCTTCCATTAGAGTGGGAGCCACTCGGCTTTCATGTTAATATCCAACATGTCAAATATAAGAGTCATACCAGTGCCACAAAGAAGCGAACAACTACATTCGATGACTTGACAGATGGAGATTGCATCCAAGTTTTCCTAACAGCCATACGCTCCGCAAAGTGATTAGTAGCAGATAGAACACCAATAAAAAGATAAACGGATTCCTTGGGTAAAGGCTGAGATTTCCATTTCTCTGACATCTCAAGAACTCGTTGGGGAGAGAAGCTTGGATGAGAAGTAGGAAGAGCTGTACCATATGCAGAATGAATGTCCACATCTCCTTTAACAGCTAATCCAGTTGCATCTTCAAGCGTAAATCCCTAAATAAAAGTCCAACAAATATATAAGAAATTAATATTAAAGCGTGGGAGAGATTATCAATACCAACTACAGCAGTAAGACAAACTTCAACAACATATGAATATTAATAGAATGTGAAATAGCTATCTGCATCCTCCTCTTCTCCACACACTTACAGGGCGATAGGCAAAAGAAGTCAAGTGCCGACCACCAACATTTATATGGTATCCATCAACACCAGCACGTAGTGTTAGGATAAACAATCTACCCTCCACAAAGGGAAATGGCCAGGTCACCTCTGGCTTCTGCTCCCGCCCTATGAATCTCTTGAACCATGAGTTTGTTTTTGGTTCTTTCGGATCTATAACATTACTCAACCATTTTTCGCATCGACGATGTCCATCAACTGTCAAAGAAAAAAATTGAAAGGGAACAAAATGTCAGATGGTATTGGCACTACAGCACAGCTAGAAGAACGAAATACTTGAGGTGTTGGAGGGTAGAGATGTACACAATTTAACCGTAATGGTATTGTTTTTCTTTCTATTAGTTTAAAACAAAATGACAAGAAAAATATTTATAGTAGGAGAATGTTATAAACTTTCATCCAGTCTGCTATAACATTCTCAAAACAGGGTTAGAAAGCTACATCTGCACGTGAAGAATCAGGACTGAGAATATTAGGATTCCGGAATAGACTTCAATGAGGACAACAATCCGTCTAGAATCAGGACTCCAATTCACAACGGGCTAAGACTCTAACCAATTCAGGATTCCTAACTCTAAGTAGAGGACAGAAAAAAATTAATCTTGCTCAAAATGAAAAAAATTAATCTTGCTCAAAATGTTCTCTTCTTTTAGCTGGACCAAACTGAAAATATTTCCTCATTTACCAGTTTCCATTGTTATCGAGAAGAACAATAATGTGTAGTCATTATGCACCAGTGATGAAAGAAAAAAAAAAAAAAAATAGAATGGAAGGGATGGATAGTCTCACCAAGCATTTCATCGTCACTATTCGATGGCAATCCATCACACCTTTGAGCCGTTCCCCACTGCATCCTATAACATGTATTATGTTCAATGACCGGCCGTTTACTCCAATCGCCTTTCAGTCGTGGATTCAAGTGAAGGATCTTTGGTGGGTCCTCGCCGTCAACTGATTTCAATCCTTGCAATTCAATCATGAACTGCGAGACCATAACCTTAGGATTACCTCCCAGCTTCAAAAGTTGGGGAACATACTCCTCATGAGCATGTTGAGGGGTTCCAATTAATGTAATAGATGAACCTGCAGCAAGTCCACAAGGAAG